AAATCACAATGTCTTCTTATTTCAGAACTCCTTATAGAGATTCCACACTATACACATACACCCGTATTTACATTGGGGGGATTTTAATGACTAAAATATTACATAAGTCTGTCCCATTAATTATGTGCAATGTACATGTATACATGTAAAAATACATAAAATACAGTACAGTGTACATACAATGTACATGTATCATTCCTCTCTCTCTCTCAGTCCCTCCCTCTCTCTTTCTGCCTCCCTCTCTCTGCCTCCCTCTCTCTCCCTCCCTCCCTCTCTCTCTCCTCCCTCTCTCTTTCTCCCTCCCTCTCTCTCTCTCCCTCCCTCCCTCTCTCTCTCTCCCTCCCTCCCTCCCTCTCTCTCCATACATTTTCAATTCTTTGATATTTAATCTAATCACGGGCAGTGCTGGTCCTCTATGAACAGGCGGAGGGTGACCGCCAGCCTCACCATCAGGAGGAAGGAGGAGGCCGCTACTCCTTAACTTCTCATAAAGATCGGACACAAGAGCAGGACCTAAACCAATAATAATTATTAAAAAATAAAACGAGAAAATAAAACGTTAATTAACCTTCGCTTTCTTGAGGAAGAGGATGACGAGAGAGATGAGGAGGAGGAGGGGGACCTCTCTCGTCTCTCATACCCCCCGGGCCCCTCCTCATTAGATGAGGAGGTGAGTGATCCCTGAAGGCTCGGTCTCGCCTCCCACGCTTAAACCCCCTCCCGCCCCGTCGCCTGAAATTTGCCCTCGGTGGTGGAGGCCGTCCCAGACCCCTTGGAGGGGGAAAATCTCTCTGAGGAGGGATATAATCTCCAGGTGGGGGGAAGGGAAGGAGCGTGCGGTGGGGCTGGATCTCGGCTGATGGCCGAGGGTGTGATACAAGATCACGTGAGTGTGATGCAGAATCGTGGGGATGCGGTACAAAATCATGTGGGTGCGATACAAAATCATGTGAGTGCGATACAGAATCATTAAAATGTGATACAGAATTAGTAACGGGTGTGTGCGAAAATGATACAGAATCAAGATTGCGTGATACAGAATCACCGTGTGATACAGATTTATCATTAATCAAAAACTTATCAGTTCTTTCTTCATGAGTTGCCTGCAACTCGAGGAGTTGATCAACTTGTCTCAGAAGTTGATCACGTTGCTCTGATGTTAGTGTGTCGGATTGTAACCTCTTTCTAGCCTACAAGTACATTAAACAGAAAATAGTTGTCAAACTATTACTACTTTTGTACATTGCATTATAGACTGCTTTAATATTGCAGGGTTTATTTTGGCAATTGGCAATCAAAACTACTAATATTAAAGACTGCTAATCTTACATGTACATGTATGTGGTCACAGAAATTGCCAAGTTAAAAAACAAATAAAGTACTACTCTATAATTATAAAATTAATTATACACATATAAGGTACATGTGCATTCACCTGCTCCAGCATATATTCTTGTTTCTTGAGTATAAAGTCAGGTAGAAGATCATTGATATCTGTAGTCCTGTCATTATCCATTCCTCCTCCTCTTCCTTTCATTGGATTATTATCAGTAACTGGAACAAGGTCTTCAATAGGCTCTGTCTTGACTCGTTTATTAGAATCAAACTGAGAGAGAGAGAGAGGGGGGAGGAGAGAGAGAAAGAAAGAGAAAAGGGTGGAAAAATAATCATAATTAATAATAAAACAATCGGTATACATGTAGCTTGTTTATAAAAATTAACTCTTCACAATATACATGTACTGTACATGTATGTGTGTACAACAATACATTTTAAGGTTAGATGAGTCGGAAGATGAGAATCATAGTGAAGATGACAGTGATGAGGAAACAGATGTTTCTATTGAAGAAGGCCAATCCATTGATAAAGACTACAATGCGACTAACTCTTTTACTAGTACTTTCGTGCACATGCATGCAATTATTTTCAATAGTAGATCTGTAAATAATACTACTTAAAATAAATGCTTAAATACATGCATATACAATCATGATTATTATATAGAAACAACAATTACATACATGTAAGTCTATTAAGTAATTTTGTCAGTTCTGTCTTTTCCTTGGACTTCAAAGAAAGCTCACAGGGGATTTCCAAGCCACCCTGGATTAAATCTGATGAGTAGCGTCTCTTTCCAGTCACTATACAAGTTATCTGCCCTCCTCTCAGTATGAATAGGCTCATTGCCATTGAAATTTTCTTAGGTAAATGACCTACTACTGTTCCATCACTTTTCACAATAGCTACAGCATATTTGTCAACTACATTTCTTGGCTCTCTTACACATGAAAGCTGTTCACCAATTACTGGATTCCAAATATCCTGGTAAACGTGGAATCCTCTGATACAGCAGTCCATCTTTTTCTGATGAAGCTCTGCAATAGTCTTCCACGTGATAGTAGAGTAAAAATTTTACGGGCAGAAAATAAAAATTGAATCAAAAATTTGCTTGATTAAAAATTTGCGCAAAAGCAAATGCGCAAACATTAATTTTGTACAAAATTCTAAATTAATTTTTAATAACAGCAAATAAAACCAGCTGTACAATACATTCTAAGGTCATGCCTTACCTCAATGCTAGTATCCTCATTTCTATGCTTCCTACCAGCAATGTCTGCACTGGAATCGCTTTCCACTGGAGCCACATCACCTCTCGTATCCACAGCAACAGTGGGACTGGCACTGCGTGGGCGTTTAACCACAGACTCTAATGGTCTCTTCTCAGGACTTGGACTTGAGCTTCGTTTGTGTTTCTGTATAACACGATCGAGAGAGACGTCGTCCTGTGGTGGTGGGAGTATCCCCATCGAGAGCTGCTTGTTTGTTTTGATTTGTCTTTGTTGAGCAAGGAGCTTCTTACGTTTGTCCTTCATAGCCAAAGAGACTTCTTGAGAAGGAGGAGGCTGGGAGAGAGAGGAAGCAAACGAGTCGACAGGTTTCGAGGAAGAAGAAGAAGAGAGAGAGGAAGAGGAGGAGGTTGGAGGCGATTGAAACTGTACTTTCTTTTTCTTTGGAATACGATAATCGTTGGCTCCTGAGTCTTTGCTTGGACTTTTTGTAGGCTTGCTGTGTTTCATAGACGAGGAAGGCATTGGCGAGGGACTTTTTGATGCTTGCTTATCGATGAGAGTGTTCTGGGGGCTTCTCCTGCCTTTGTTCTCAATGGTTAGAGGAGCCAGTGAGTTGCTTGAAGATTTGGATGACGTTGCTGGTAATGATGGTTTTAATATTGACTATGGGAGGGAGAGAGAGAAAGAGAGGGGGGAGATAAAAAAGAACAAACAAATATATAATTATCATTATACATATACATGTATAAAGGTACCTTTTTGGGAAGTGGAGATGATCTTCTTTCAGTTGACGTTTTCCCTGAATTTCTCTTAGCAGAGTCCTCCTTCTAGAAAGAGATGGAGAGAATAAAATTATTGAACATGCTCTGTGGGAAACCCTGGTAATAAAATAATACAATAGAAATAGAATGAAACTGGTAACAAAATAATAAAAAATGCCATTAAAATTCAATAATAAGGAGCCATTGTCTCTCCCTTCTCCTCCCTCTCTCCTCTTACAGGTTCAAGAAACTTGGGATTCAAGAATATAGTTGGACTGGAGGGCTCCTGAGCAGTGATTGGCCAGTTTGGATCGATAGCGTGAATATGCTCATCTATAGCTGCCAGTTTCCTGACAGGTATGTACGGGAGCCATGTCTGCCTCAGTTTATACAAAGCAATACGAATCTTTGGGTCATTCTATGAATAGAAAGTATAAATAAAAGATACTGTGTAGATGTAACAGTGATTTTTATTAATGTGTGTATATACATGCACTATATACACACATGTAAATGTATGAATCAGTAATTATTATTAGTGGCATACTTTGTATAGTAACTATAATACACACATACAATAAGCTTCCCTAAGTCAATAATTAGATTCATTGCCACCCACGTAATGATATTCATAGCACACCCAGACACGCCCCTAGCAACCACATAATGCATACCAGTGCTTCGAAGGCGTGGCAGAACACGCCCACGATCCCTTTTGTGAGTTCCTCTAGGAATTCCCCTCCCAGGTTCTTGATCATGGAGTCCATGAGATAGAGGGTTGGTATCTTGCACTCTTGCCGCACCTAAGGAACACACCATAACCGCATAAAGAGAGGGATTTAGATAAAGAAAGAGGGGACGATTGAGAAAAAGAGGGGCCTTGCATAATTATACTGCTTTCAAAAAAAACTATCGTCATTATTATTTACAATTTTATGTGAAACACTTGTGTTACATACATTTACAATGAGAACAAATAAATAAATACACACAACATTGAGACTGCTATTTAAAAGGGAGCTAGGAAATGGCGGCCGGGAAGTCCTGTGAGGTACTACCTTGAAGAACCGGGTCTTGACCAGCTCGACTATGGCAGGGGCGTAGATTCGATATTTGTCTGCCTTCATGGTCAGCATGTTGATGATTGGCTTTGAGTTGAAGGTGAGCTCTTCTAAGACCGACTCGTAGTCCTCTAGTACAGTAGACTGGGACTCCAGGTCAGCCATGATGAAGAGAGAGAGGGGAGAGAAAGAGAGAGAAAAGGAGAGACAGAGAAAGAGGCAGGAAAATGGAGACGAGAGTGAAGAGTCTCACGTGATGATCACGTGGAGATTTATTACGTCATAATTATTCTTACGTGAAAATTGTTTTTCGACCGAATCTACGAGATAATTGCTTTACAAAAGTATGTTCCTTCTTCCTAATTTGGAAGAGTAAAATACTATTAAAATAGCTACTCATGAAACTATGCTAAATTGGTCAAACTACTATTAAAGGGCATGACCTTTTTGTAGTCCAAATGACTTTCCCATCAACTAACTGTTATTACTATATAAAGTTAAAATGACACATTTCTCTCATGCAAATTTTGAAAAGGAATGACAGCAAGCAGGTGAGCAGGTGTGGGGAGTAAATCACTCATGTCTGATGTAACAGACAAGGAAAGGTCATTTAACTTTATGTGTACATATCTCAATTTTAGGCTTTAAGTAATGATTTTTATGAACTGTTAATTAAAAAATCATTGCTTAAAGCCTAAAATCAAGTTATGTACACAAACATTTAAATGACCTTTCCTTGTCTGTTACATCAGACACAAGTAATTTACTTCCCACGCCTGCTTGCTATTAATACCATAGCAATACTATGGCATTAAATCATGGAATGATCTTCATGATTAATGCAGCAGAGAAAGAGCTTATACTTCTGCACTCAAAAGATATTGCTTTAGGTAAAAAAAAATTTCCTTCTTTAAAGAGCATGAGTTCTCTGCTTAATAAGAAGTTATTGATGCCTTTTTCATTAAATAATTAATACTTTATTGCCATGCATCGATAAAGTGAAGCAATGATGTGAAACCCTTCATTTGTTCATTGTATCATGCAATGAAAGGTCATCTAACTATCTGCACACAGGAATACTAGATATGTCTTATGCAACATTCTGTAACACTGCTACATAATCTTACATAAGAGATGTTATAAAACGAAGCATGCTTGTATAGTTTAAGTAAACTATCATAGTCATTCAAGGAGAGATTAAAGTCATTAAACTATCATTCAAAGAGAGACTAATAACTTAAACTACCAGTCAAGGAGAGATGTTCCCACTGGTGGCTGTACTCTTATTCTTCAGTAGCTACTGCAGTGTCTCCTCTCATCAGTATTATGTGTCTGATGACTGCAGTTCAGTTACTCATACACCTTGTAATCCTTTATCAGTGTATGCTGGGAATATATCTCAATACAATAACAGCATCTTCTACTTCGTTGGAACTAACACTATACCAGGCAAAGTCAGTTTATTGCAAGTACAATATATTACCTTAGAAGGAATGGGTGATCATTCTGTGCTTGATTGTACTTCAATTCCCAGGTATCGAAATATTCTCATTAAAAGTAGTAGCCATATTAAACTTGTCAATATTTCAACCACTCAATGTGGCATAATTATTCGTAATTCAAACCACACAACTATAGCTAATTGCAACTTTGATAGCTATACTTACATAAGGAATGGATTTGATGTTAATATTGTGAATACTAAGTTCTATGCTATTAGAATTGCTTATACTCAACCAGTATCATGTCAGAGAAACATGCAGCAGTATCCCCTGAGCTTAAAAAATGTTACAACAGACAATAGACTGTTTCTTCGTATATGTCATGGCAGATCATACAATGTAAATGTGATAACAGAAAATTTCAAATCAAATCAGGGACGTTTTGATGCTGCCATTTGTACTAATTCACTCTATCACATCAATATCACCAATGTATCAAGACGCAATGCATATAATGGTTTACGCATATTATACCGTTTTATAAAAACTGAAAGTTGTTCCTTAAATCACGTACAAAATCCTAGCAAGTTAATCATTGAGAAGAGCCACTTTGATGACAATATGAAGGGTCTTTCAATCCTGAAACTACCGGTATCTAAGACTAATGGCAAGTATGTTCATCATTCAATTCTTGTTAAATCATGTTGGATCAGGAATAACAAACAGTACGGTCTTTTCTTTGAAAATTACTCTTTAGAAGCCATGAAATATTATACCATTAGCATTAACGATACAGAAATAATTGGTAACAAGCAAAATGGCTTGATTTATACTGACGTAGTACTGAATAATGTTACTATTTCTAATTCTACAGCAACAGGATTGTCAATTTTAGGATCGACCGTAAAAATCAATGGAAGTGCATTTATTACGAATAATATTGGCAAAGATGGAGGAGGAATGGCAATACATGATGACTCAGTCATAATTTTGTTTCCAAATACTTCTGTGAACATTAGTAATAATCATGCTTCACACAAAGGAGGAGGAGTATATTTTAGGAACCGCATAACGTGCCTTTTCAAATCTGACAGGTATGTGCATGTACACATGCTCAACAATACAGCTACAGTTGCTGGTGATGATTCGTATGGTAACATTGTTAACGCAGTTCATAATTGTCCTCCTGTTTTTCAACCAAAAGTAATAAAATTATCATCAGATGCAATTGATTTAAAGTTTTGCAATCCTGAAAATAGTACTGCCATTGAGCAATACAATGAGTCTATACCAAAAAAAGAAATATTTCCAGGAGAAAAATTGAAGTTCTATATAGCAATGGAGGGAATGGGTTATAATAATGAATACAGCATTACAAATGGTGTTATTGACATTAATATCAATGATGAGGAAAAGCTTAAAGAAGTGCCAGTCAATGCTAATTGTTCATTAGTAGAGTTTACTCCAAACCAAACAGAGTTAGATACATTGCATAATGTAACGTTGACTATCCATCAGTATTTTGACCAATTTCCTTTATCTCATGGTGGCACTACTAGTTTTTTTGAATTTAATGATAGAAGCACTCAAAGATCTCTCCAGTTCAAATATAGTGTTAATCCCTGTCCTATTGGTTTTATTAATAATTCTGGTAAGTGCATCTGCAGGGAGAATATTTCAAGGAAAGGAGCAAGATGCAACATAAATACACAAACCATTGAACATGATGGTAAAAAGTGGATTGGAGAATATAACAATACTTGCTTTATCAGTGAAGCTTGTCTTCTACACTGTGCTAGTACTGGCCCTGTTAGCTTTACCATGGATAGACCTGATGCTCAATGCGAGGACAACAGAGGTGAAAGGATGTGTGGATCGTGCAAAAAGAGTTTGTTACTTGGATCAAACAGGTGTGATGAATGTAAAAATCCTCACTTGACAGCTTTATATATACTCATATTTGCATTAATGGGAATCTTACTTGTAGTTCTACTGATTGCTCTGAATTTAACAGTATCAAATGGAATGCTAAATGGCCTATTGTTCTACGCTAACATCATCAAGTTGTACGAGCCCATCTTTTTGAGGAAAGAATATTTTAAGAATTCTGAATACGTGAGTCTAGTCATAGCATCTTGGAGTAATCTAGACTTTGGGTTTGAGGTGTGTTTTTACGAAGGAATGGACAGGTATTTTAATGAATGGCTGCAATTTGTTTTTCCTTTCTATGTGTGGATTATCATCATTGTCATTATAGCGCTGTCCTGGAAATTTGGTAAAATATCAAGGCTTGTAGGATCTCATGCAATCCCTGTTCTTTCTACTCTCCTTCTTCTCTCATACACCAAGCTAACACATACCATTGTCATTGTGCTGCACAAGCGTGAGGTACTCTTTACTGTCC